GAGGAAGCAACAAATAATTGATAACAGAAAATAAAGAAATGAAGTTTCAGGAAATTAAAAAACAAAGCCAATAAGAAACAAATGAAGTTTTTTCAAAGAATTCTTAATTGGAAATTAATTAAACAAAAACAAAAAAACAGTTACTGATTTAATAAATGTTACTGTTTGTATCAAAGCATCATTACGTGAATAAACAAATGAAGTATACAAAACAAAAGATTAACAATAAATTTATTAAAAAAATTAACAACTGATGTAGAAAATCGTAGAGGGCTGAGAATAATTGATAACAAAAAATAAACAAATGAAGTTTTTTTTTCAAAGAATTCTTAATAATTTATAAAAGAAACGTTCAATTCTATAAAATAAATGATTTAATAAATTTTACTGTATGAATCAAAGCACCTTTACGTGAATAAACAAATGAAGTATACAAAACAAAAGACAATACATTTATCAATAAATTTATTAAAAAATAAACAACTGATGTAGAAAATCGTAGAGGGCTGAGAATAATTGATAATAGAAAATAAACAAATGAAGTTTTTTTTGAAAGAATTCTCAATTGATTTAATTAATCTTAATTGGAAATGAATTAATATATATATAAATGAGTTGAGATTGTGAATGAAGTTAGTTAGTTATGTAGAATAGGAAGTAAGAGAAGATGAAATACCTGAATGTGTTATTGATGGAGTTCTCTTTCTTTGCAGGTTTGCCGATGACGGCTATATGAGATGATGGGTCATCATCATCATCATATTCGGATGGGTGGTAATTCGTAGGTAGTCCGAAGAGGAGAGAACAGCTGCTGGATCCTCTGTCTAGTTAGCGCATTAGCAAAGGTGGAAGGAAAGGATGATGAAGAAGTGAAAGAAGAAGCAGCAGCAACAGCAGCGCGTCGCAGGAATGCGAGAGAGGCATTGCAGTAGGTGATATGACCGACCGGGCAACACGGCCATCCCCGAACTCTCCTCCGGTCGCGGCACGCTTTAGATCTTCACCGCGCGCTTCTTCTTCTTCATCACCATTCAACATCTCCCAAAAGGCAACATACAAATCATCAGAATCCACGTTCACATAGAGAGAAAGAGAGAGAATCAAAGATTACCACCTATGCAATCCTCGTTATTACCGTTTCAGAAACATATGCATGCATATATATATACATACACTGTGTATACACAAAGAGAGAAAGAGACGAAGCGAGTTTCGGAATTCCTAATAAACAATTTCCTGTTTCGTAAAGCTGATGTATTTGATTATAGTTCAAAGATAAATATTTGTGTTGAAGTTATGTACTGCATTCTTCGCATTCTCTCTCTCGTTGCTTTTATCTTCTACGAGCCAAACGAGTTTACCTCTCTCTCTTTCTCTGCGAAATGCGAAAGAGATGTGAGTTGTGGTGGAATGGGGATTGATAACTCGCACACACATTCAAGTCGAAGACGATCCCATTATTAATATATAAACATATTTGAAAAAAAAAATCAAATGGGCGATTGTTACCATGGCCACACACAAACATCATATAACCATGGTTACGAACGTCGCAGAAATGAGGGGGAAAACATGGAAAATACACATGCAATTATGCAATTGGCAATTAAAGCGAGCCCAAGGTGAGCTTATCAGTCATAGTGAGGCGCCAGTCTATCGGGGAAATTTGCGCTCGTCGTGTGTACGTACCTTTGTTCATTGCGCGCACCGGGACGGAGAGAGAGAGAGAGAAAGAGAGAAGGTCAACAATCATCATCACAATCTGTTACGCAAACTCAAAGTTACTAAAAAAAAATAAGAAACAAAAGCAAGAAAATGAAGCAGCACTCTTGATTCAGATGGTGCAGGTTCTGGAACCAGGTTCTGGAACGGAGAGCGAACCTGATAATTGCATAACACGCTTGAATCATCGCCCATTCCATTAATTAATGATTCACGATTTCATCTCTTTCTCTCTCTTAACCGAAGTAATCGCGCATTCTGGTTTCGAATGTTTTTCTCATTGATGTTTATTGGAAGTGTGCGTCATATGTGCATTAAGATTAATAGTCAATAATTAGTCAAGAATGCGAGCACAGTCCAAAAGGACGCTCTCCTACCTCCCACCATCATCCAATCTCATTTGTTTCATTTTTTTCTACTCTATTCATTCATTTATTTATTTATTTATAATTCGTTTGTTTCAGCGCAATCAATTGTCATCTTCATTAACGTCGCATCTCCATTATTTCTTTTGTTTATTTTTTTGCAGAAGGATCGAAGTCATCGGTGGAAACAGACGAAACTGGTTTTCACAGTGATTTGACAGATGTTTCCGATTTCTGAGATCATTGTGAAAGCTGATTTTGTTTCACGAATCATCGAGAGATCAACTTCAACATTTTTATTTTTTTTGGGAAGATCCAGTCATCTGTGCAATCCAACATCTGTTTATTTCTTTATACGAATTATCTATGTTTTATTATTTTTTTTGTATTAATAATTTTAAATAAACAATGCAAACAAAACAAATTTGTATTACTTATTTATCCTTCAAACTCTGTAATGTCATAAATCTATTGTTTTTGAGAAATGTCAAATGCAAATGTTCATAAGTTATTTTTTTTTTCCAAGAAAAACAATAAATATCAAAAGAAATAACAGTTATTCTTTATTACTTATTTACCCTTCAAACTGTTGAAATTCACCGATTTATTTGTTTGTTTTCAATACAACTATATAAAAGAGTGAGAGAGCGTTGGATGTATGCAAATTGGGAATGAGATTTTATCGAATTTCTCGAGAACCGTCAAAGGCTAATTAATAACTGAATATGCAAATCGAAGCTAAAACAAGCTATTAAAAAGGAATACAGTGTATTTTCTATATAAATACTTCAACTATAATTTATTTGCCAATTTAAAACCCAACTTCAATTCAATCAATTTACGTATATCTCTCGAATAATCAATTGGTTAGTTTGATGAAATATACATATTTTTATGTTAATTCAATTGAAATATATAAATATGTAAAATGCAATTACTTTTCAACATATTTCTCAAAAACTGTGAGTAATAAATTGAAAATTAAGTTTAATTTATTGATAAAAATCTATCTTTAACACATCTTCATATTTCTTGAAGTATTATTTATGTAAAATCGTACAAAGAAGAATGTGTTTTTCACAGAATTTACAATCAAAGTTAATACATATTGGAATTTGAATAATCACTAAGCAATCATAGTTTTTAAGCATACTTCTCGAGAAATTACTTATTGAGCATTGAAATTATGCAAATTTAAGCGTAAACTGTACGAATTGGAATGTGTTGTTATTTTTATTTGAAACGTAATCTTTGCAATTTCCATTTTTCCCAGAATTCAGCTTACAAAATTTCCTATAAATTAATTTTTAACCCTTATAAAATTAGCCTTAACGCATCTATTGACAAATAGTAGTAACTAATTGGAAACTGAATTTTCTAATTTATAGTTTTCTTTACTCTCTAACAACTTTTTTGTGTGATTAAACCCATAAAAATAGTTGAAAAATCTATATAAAAATTGAGATAATCATGATTTTTGTAAATTGAAGTGATTTTGTTGAAATTTTCCATTAATATTGAAATTTCCAAAGGAGAAACGTCATCCAAAGAAACACCGTTAGTGTTTTTTTTCTTCTTGTTTTTGATTACATATTTCTCGAGAAATTTGAATAATTAATTTAAAAAAAAAATTGATATGCAAATGTAAGCTAAAACTATAATGAGTGTACGCACATTGAAATATATATCTATATAATATATGGATTTTTATGTAAAAATCATGGTCAAAGTTTAAATTATAAACGTTTTTTTTAAAACTTCTATTTAAATTATTTCCATTAAAATTTCATTTACGTATAATTTTACTCTGCTTTATATAACTGAATAAATTTTCATACTCTTGTTTGGGAGATAAGTGAACAGAAATACGGTAGCGATTTAGTTGGAAATAATCATGAGCGTTGGTTGTTGGAATGCGATTGTTTTCCAACCGCAGAATTTAATGAAACTTATAATAGAAACACTTACGTAATAAGACGTAGTAAAAACTATTTAATACATATGACGAGTGTGTATTAATCATTTAATTATAAATAGAAAGAAGGATTTAGTTCAAATTCAAATTTAAAAAAAATGTGTATTTGGTTGCATATAATGAAAGTATGATAGGTGGTTAAATCAGTGATTCTCAAACTTTTATGAAACAAAAGTTACGTAATTTCCTTTCGACAACCCTTCAGAGATAATTACATCATCAACCACACATTTTAAAGCTGATTAACTCACTTTCCCAACGAAACTGTTGGCATTTTCGTGCTGTTGTCGAGTTGCTTGCTAAGAACTTTATAAATTGGAAAAAAAATGTATAGTTTTGTAATTATTTATATAAAGGTACCATTCTCATAATATATTTACAACAATGATTGATTACATTCAAAAAGCATCACTATTCCTAATGCATCAATTATAAAATTTTAGAAAATCGATTCGTCAGGTGCTTAATAAAATATTTTCAACCCATAATGCCAGCTCATTGGAAAGGTTGTAGTTTTCTCTTTAATTTGCGTATTCGTTTATTTAATTATCACAAATGGTAATCAATTAATTTAAAAAAACTTGAAGATATTGCAACAAATTAAAAAAATAGTTAAATAAATGGTTATATTTATATATATTCGAAAATTTTAATTTACTGGTTTAAAGAATAATTCTTTCGCTTTCGTTTGCTATAAACTACGTTAGTTTCTGTTAATTATTAAGAAAGTTATTAAGCTTTAATGCGTTGTCGGTTTTCGCGAATCAAAACGCAAGTCCCCCCCCCTCTTGATTCTCGAAAATGCCAGAAAATTTCGATTTGCACCAGGAGAACAGGAGTAGCGAGGAGGTATCTGAGCTCCAAGCATCGCTCGATTCTGATTGGTTGGAATTTGAAAATTTGAAATTTACGTTTGTGTGAGTGAGTGAACTGTCAGAGTGACAGCTGTCACACTGACAGCTACTGTCGCAAGTTAAATTTAAAGGTTTTTATTGGGTTTCCTGTTTATTCTACATTGTTCTGAATGCAAACTTAATGAACAAGATGCTCCATTGCTTCCTTCTTCTATTTCCTTGGATGGAAAACCTTTTTCTGAACTTCACAATTCACTTCGGGCAAGTACTGGTGGAACATGTAAACAACAATCGATCACTAAAGTTCTTTGTCTTCAGAAAGCGTACAACAGAAACTGCAGCTAAGTAGGGACAATTCTTAAAATCTTTTACATAAAACATACTGAATCAGTGTCTTCATATAAGAATGTGCATTAATAGTTTATAGTCAACAATCATTGGTAGAATTGTTATTATTTTAGGTGAAGAAAGCAGAAAGCAGTGAAGAAAGCAGAAAGTCGAAAGCATTCTTTACTAGCAGTTTTCATTTGCAAATAGTGGAAACCGTAACTGCAGAAAGTGACCAAAAATATTACTTCATTATGAAGATGGATAACAACTATGAACCCTGTTGATTCTATTGTTGCTTCCTACATGATCTTTAGAGACTGCATTGAAAATACTGGAAAAACAAAAATATTAATCTTCATCAAATCCCCAGGAAGACACAAAGACATATAAGAATAGCTATCAATCAATATTTACATTCATTTTAATCTATGTATGTTTTAGATCAACATTCATGTTCAATATTCTTCTAGAAGCAAATGCTTACGAAAATACAGGCCATTTTTTAAGACGTTATTTTCCCTAATCATTTATGAAATACCAAAGTTTGTTAATCAATTATGAAGACACCATTACAGCTACAAACTAATATTTATGCTCATTTTAATCCCTGTATATTCAAGATCAACATCCATGTATAACATTCTTCTGGGAGCTCATGTATACGAAAATATAGGCCATTTTCGAAGACGTTATTATCCCTAATCATTTGTGAAATACTAAAGTTTGTTAATCAATTATGAGGACACTATTATAGCTACATACTAATATTTATGCTCATTATAATCTGTGTATATTCAAGATCAACATCCATGTATAACATTTTTCTGGGAGCTCTAGTTTACGAAAATACAGGCCATTTTCGAAGACGTTATTTTCCCAATTCATTTGTGAAATACCAAAGTTTGTTAATCAATTATGAGGATACCATTGCAGCTACAAACTAATATTTATGCTCATTTTAATCTGTGTATATTCAAGATCAACATTCATTTATAACATTCTTCTGGGAGCTCTAGTTTACGAAAATACAAGCCATTATCTAAGACGTTGTTTTCTTATTTGTTCATCAGTGTGTGTATGTTTGGTTGCCTGCACTTTAGGCGTAAAATGCATATTCCATTTTTCGTGACACCTGGCGTCATCTCTTAGCAATATTGCAAATGTTGTAGTTCGGGCATTTTGGCGCTGAACAAAATCCACTTCCTTAAAAACGTTCTAATTTAAATAAACAAATACATTAAAATAGTACTTGAACAAATGTAGCGTTATTACTTTAGTCTAATGATTAAAATACTAATTATATTTCGAGTTATAAGCATTTTAATTATGACAAGCAGCGACATCTGTCGGAATTTTCAGGAAATGTGTATGTGTGGTATGTGTGGTTACTAATATTTATGCTCATTATAATCTGTGTATATTCAAGATCAACATCCATATATAACATTCTTCTGGAAGCTCATGTATACGAAAATATAGGCCATTTTCGAAGACGTTATTTTCCACAATCATTTGTGAAATACCAAAGTTTGTTTATCAATTATGAGAACACCATTGCAGCTACAAATTAATATTTATACTCATTTTAATCCGTGTATATTCAAGATCAACATTCATTTATAATATTCTTCTGGAAGCTTATGTATACGAAAATACAGGCCATTTTCGAAGACGTTATTTTCCAACACATTTGTGAAATACCAAAGTTTGTTCATTAATTATGAGGACACCATTGCAGCTACAAATTACTATTTGCACTCATTTTAATCCCTATATACTCAAGATCAACATCCATGTATAACATTCTTCTGGGAGCTCATTTTTACGAAAATACAGGCCATTATCTAAGACGTTGTTTTCCTATTTGTTCATCAGTGTGTGTATTTTCGGTTGCCAGCATTTTAGGCGTAAAATACATATTCCATTTTTCGTGACACCTGGCGCCATCTCTTAGCAATATTGCAAAGGTTGTAGTCCAAGCATTTTGGCGCTGAACAAAATCCACTTCCTTAAAAACGTTCTAATTTAAATAAAAAAACACATTAAAATAGTACTTGCACAAATGTAACGTTATTACTTTAGTCTAATGATTAAAATACTAATTAGATTTCGAGTTATAAGCATTTTAATTATGACAAGCAGCGTCATCTGTCGGAATTTTCAGAAATATTGTATGTGTGGTTGCAGATTGTTTCATGAATATTCCCACTGATGTTTTTGATTCGCGAAAACCGCCAACTCATTAAAGTTTAATAACTTTCTTATTAATTGATCAAAATTAATGTATTTTATAGCAAACGAAAGAGAAAGAATTTGTTTTGAGCACTAAACTAAGAGTTTCCAATATACATGAATATAACAATGTATTTAACTATTTTTTTTAATTTGGTGCAATAGATTCACATTTTTTTAAATTAATCGATTACCAATCGTGATAATTAAACAAACGAATACGCAAAATAAAGAAAAAACTACAACCTTTCCAATGAGCTAAATGCTGGCATTGTGATTTGGTCAGTACATCTACTATAAGTTATCAAAATTAAGCATTTTAATATCATTTTCAATTCAATATGGAGATATAATTACATCATTGACTACACAATTTAAAGCTGAATACCTCACCTTTCCAACGAAACAATTGGCATCTTTATGCTGTGATCAAGTCGCCTGCTACGAACTGTAGAAATTGACAAAAAGGGAATAGGATTTTCTTAAAAATCGCAAGATTCATGCTCAAATTAAAGCTAACATAATTAAGAATGATATTATATAAGAATAATTGTTATGTGTATTACAGATTTCTTGTAATTCGACATTAAGTTTGATATGAATTCTTATAAGACAACATTGGGTTGCCTATAATAATTTTACTTATTTTTGAAAAATATTGCTTATCTTTGTAATTAAACATGTTTATATAAAAAAAAACTTATGTAATAATAGTTTTAATATTGTATTTATTACCTAAAATACAAATTATGAACAAAACATTCTAATAAGCGAATGAAAAAACTTGTTTATATGAGAAAATCAATCATGAGTCAAATAAAGTTGAATAACTTATTTAAGAAATAAATTAGCTAAAATTGTAACTTAAAGACAATTAATTAATTGATTTTGACTTGAAAGTAGAAATTTAAGGAAATGATTTTTTTCTAACAAGAAATTGAGTTAATTAATTGAACACTGATTCAATTTTTTTGTTTATTGATTAATAATTAATTAAGACTTAATTGTATTCATATTTTGTTTGTTAATTGGTCATAATTTATGTAAAAAATAAAGTTTTTGTCATTAATTCTCAATAATTTTTAAATAGTGTCGACAGTAATGGGAATTTTGACGAAAAGAATGTTTTTTTATTGCAACGATTGTTTACATGAAATAATGGCAATAAACACACGATTTTATAGATTTAACTTGTAAAATCGGTCCATTAGTCGTCGATTTCTAAAAACCAAATAGGAGAAAAAACGATCAGTAAAGTGAATAATTTATACGTTTCCAAAGTGGAGACATTTTATAGCTTGTTTCCCTTTCAATCATCGAAATTTACGACCACCACCACCATTAAACATCCCTTAGTGAACTGGGTGGGGAGCCCATGTTTACACACATGTATTCGGGCATTAATTGCTTGATAATCTTAAAGAGGAGTAAAAGGAAAAGCGAAGCGAAGTGAAGAGAAGAGAAGAGAAAAAGGCGTAAAAAAAAGCTGCCTGGCAAATGTGGATGGAACTGATTCTTCCTGTCCGAATTCCGCTAAGGACGAACGGAAGGAGACGCACAACGCACAGATGTTTAACATCAGAGGCGCACGTTTGCTGGATAGAGGAAGATTGACTCCTTCTCTAGTTGTGTTTCGTCAAAGGATTTTCGACGTTTTAGCCGGGATTAATTACAAAAAGGGGACCGCGCGATTCGGCCGAAATTCGAGAGCGGTGGCCTTCTATTCTCTTCTCTTCTCGAAAGAGAGGAAAGACGGACCAGAAGAGGAAAAAAAAGAGAAACATGTAATAAAGAAAGAAACGAAGCTGAAGAAAAGAAACGCATAAAAGGAAATATCGAAGAGGAGAAATGAAAATAAGGATTTATATATGAAATTTTTTGTAGTTGTTATTTTGACTTGGGTTCAGCTTACTCATCTCGTTATTGACTTATTATCTCATTAGGGCCGTATTGTCGACTCGAACCCGAAAAAATTGTACCGAGTGTAGTTTCGTGTGTTTTTCCTTCTTGAGAGAGCGAGAGGAAGGTTTCCGTGAAAATGTTTGGTTTGGGTCGGAGGTCAAGACGACTCGCGAAGATGCTGCGCGCGCCGTGACTTGCAGAAGGTGAAAAGGATAGAAAGACGACGACGATGATGATGATGATGATGATGAAAGGAAACCGCAAGGGGAGATTATAACAAAAAGTAATATAAAAAGCAAACACTCATCGTTGCAAACAATTCCGGCCGGCCATCATCAATCAAAAACAATATTCTTAATTCGATATTATTTGTATGTGAACAAAAGGAATTCATTACAACTCGATGGAACTCTTCGTAATTTAATTACTTACCTTTATTTGTTTGCTTTTTTTTTTCTTTTACTCGTGCATTGTCACAGACATCTACATTGACTTATATTTTCGTATATATCTTGACAGGCATAAATACTATTATTAATATAGAATAATCAAATTAAAGTTAAAACTATAAATAATTAAATCAGCAAATGGTCATTACTATTTCATAAACAGATTTCTAGTAATTTGCTGTTAAATTTGATACAATTTTTAAAATGAAAGCTTATGTTAATCCAGAATAATCAAATGTAAGCTAATAATATAGTGAATAATATGAGTATAATCTTGTAATTGTGCCTCTTATAATAATAACAAAATTGAAGTAATACAATTTTAAGCAGTGTCTTTATATTTTTATGTATATTTCAAGAAGTATTCAAACCAATTTTAATCCTAAATACTCAAATTGAAGCTAAGTATATAAGGAATAATATTAGTATTGAGTCATTATTATATCTCTTATAAATTTCTTGTGATTCGTTATCAAATTTGAAGTAATAACATTTTTAGAGTCTTAGCAAGTAGTGTCTTTACGTTTTCAACTATATCTCAATAACCATCATAGGTAGTTTCATTATTGTATGCTATAATTAAACGGGACAATGTAGGGAATAAAATGAGTATAATTTTATTATTATGTTTCTTACAGATTTTTTTTAATTCGTTATCAAATTTAAAGTAATTTTTCAGCAATGTCTTCACATTTTCTTCCATATCTCAACAACTATGAATATTATAATCAATATGAATGTTGCATTTTAAAGCTAAATATATAGGGAATATAATTATTCTTGAAATTTATGGAAGAACTACGTTTGATTACAGACAGATTTCTTCTAATTCGTTATCAAAAATTAAAGTAATTTTTCAGCAATGTCTTCACATTTTCTTTCATATCTCGTCAACTACGAATGTCTTAATCAATATTAACGTTGCTTATTACAGCTAAAT